TTTTTTTTTTGGAACTATACCAAAGTTTGAATCAAATTCTTGGCACTATGCATCATCCCTGGACTGAACTGCTCAAAATACTTGAACGTGCCGATTACTGTTTTACGCGCCGGTGAGATTATAATACCCTGGAATGTTGTTCAGAGGCGAATCTGCGTGGTTGCACGAATCCGAATGGCTGAGAACGAAGCTGATAGCGATATTTCTGAGGTACCTTCGGTCGCAAGTACTGTTGAACTTCATTCATCTGAGGACAGCAGCGAATCGTCGTCCTCAAACGACGAAAGCAATTCCGAATTATCTGCTGGCAAATCTGCCCGGGATAGTGCGGAACCGCAGCCAGTTCTGGGAGATGTGGAACTGGCCTTTGCTGAACAAACCGAGCAGTTACCGTCTTGCGAAGAAACAGTAAGTTGCTGGCTTGGAATTTTAAACAAGCTAATGTATTTTATCAATTCTTCCTTTAGATTTTCAGCTAAAGAGGAGATGCAGCAGTGAGCAGCGCAAGTGATCGCCGCTGCTGCAAACTCTCTCTGAAATGCGTTAACAAGCATGGCCACTGACCTGTGCGTGGAAACCATGCGCATCTGGCAGCTGGATTTGAACCCATTAAGTGCTGCGTGGACGGGGAATATCCTCTTAAAATTCCAGCTTTCTAGCTTTTCAAATTCTCCAGTTAGCAACTTTTAGTTTTGGTCTCGATGACATCCCGTCCCTCTAGTTCATAAAAGTGAACTCAATTGCTTACATAGTCGCAAAAGAATTTCGTAAGGTTTCCTCGCTCCATTGTTTTCTGTCATCGCCAGCATTCGCTTCCGGGTTCAACCATACCAGGAGAACAACTGTGTACTCATAATTTGTTTTTTTTAGTTAAAATCTGACAACTTTTCCAGATACTTTGACCCACATTTTTTCGCCTGATTGAACTGAGTTTTGATGATTCGTTCTGTTTTCTAAAAGGATTACCAACTTAGCGATTCTCATATCTGATGCCTGCGACTATAGTCATCGAGGTATTATGTACTGAGCATCGTCCTTTCATCATTGGAAGACCCAAGCACTGGGAATTCTTTTTAGCTTCGTTATAAATTGGAAATAAATTTAGTGGATTAGCTAAAAAGAGCCAGCAGTGCGAAGGGAGGTAAGAGAAGAGGCTTTGGCAGAAGTGGATAGTTGGTATAAGTATAATTATAGCATAATCATGTGGATAAAAGCCTTTCAGTTATTTCAGGATGCTGATGAAAATGACGATATTGAGATTCTGGATTCAAGCCTGGAATTGATCGATGAGGCATGCTCTGATAGCGGCGAGGATGCTGTTCCAGTATATGACAGTGCCGATTTGAGCGCCCAAACCGATGAGCGTAAAGCAGAGTAAGTTTCTTCTAGTTTTTAAATCACCAAAATTTTCCTAATTTGATAGAATAAAACTCTCGGCGTTTCTAGTGTGTAGCAGTTACATGACGTCCTTGCTGCGCGGAGATGTGTTGTTGGTAGTTTCGTTTATTGGTATTTAAATAGACTCCTCAGTGGGGCACCCAAATCCTAGCCTCACAGTTTCGTTTTTAGGAGTCATCTACGTGTGCTTTTTTTTTCAGGCGGGTGTGGAGAGTAGCAAAAGACAGGTAAGCTTTCAGAAGGCAATAAAAGTGTTTGTGGTCTCCATTGATGCCATCTACGAAAAAGCATTTTTACAGCCAGTGCAACTGTAGCAAACAACTGGACACCTTACATCCCTCCGTATTCACTGCCAGTGTTGGCAAGACTGTTAGTGGTTTCCTCTTTCAGGGGTTGTTTAGATGCAAACTTATGGCGGCTTTGAC